GAGTAGCCGGTCTCTCCGGCGAAAAGTAAATCCGGTTGTAGCTTTTTTACTGTACGAAGTTCGTACTGGCGTAAGCCTTTAGTGCCAATGAGTGAAAGTTTGGAATAATAAATAAAAACGTGTCCTCCTGCCGCAATAGACGCAGTGGTTGAGGTGTCGGCTGGCTCCACTGCTATTGAAGTAACGGAACAAAGATACGCTAGTTGATCATTTACTGAAATAAAACAACAGGACGGTAAAGGCTAATTTTGGAGTAGCCAAAAATATTCTAAACGCGCGAACCACTTCACAACGGCAGCCACGAGTGAGAGTATGATGTTTGGTACAGCCCGCCGGTACAGCCCAAAGAGGGAGACCGGCAACCTCCCGGTTTGTCGTCTGCTAGCAGAATCGGGCGCGTGCCCCCTCTCACTTGTTTTACCCCGCCGAACCTGCTGAACTTCTCGGATGTCTGGAGAGGGCGATGCGGTCGAACAAAATGGTGCCGCCATGAGAGCTCTAGATGGAATGGTCTATAGCATCCGGCCCATACGCTACTGTCGAATTATCTAACCAGAGATAGTGTGCTGTAAGACATCATGTTCCTCCCGCAAAGCGCGCTCCGTCCCATGTGTGAGTTGTCGTTACTCTTAAAGGGCGGCGCACACGGCGCTCTCGACAAGTCTTCACTTGACACTGCACCGTGATGCAGCCTGAAACATCTGTCATGAATCTTCATCTGGTCACGCTTAACCAATGAAATGGGCATATGGGTGACCGGTTTTTTCAATCGAGTGGCCAAAAGATATCATCTACGTTCGCTACTGAAACCGCATGCTCATTAAAGCATGTTTACAAGCTTCACACTCTGAGAAACTATATCTATTAATCCCAAAAAATTTGCCTGTTCGTTCGTTCGTCCGTCCGTCCGTCCGTTCGTGCATTTCCCGCTGCATTTAGCGGGAAAACTGAATTTGTGTTTAGGTAACGTAATGTCATTTGACGTCATCCTACCTGACGTCGTGTTCTCTATACACCAATCAAGGTTTCCTGCCTAAGTCGGCGGGAAATTGATGTTACGTGCGTGACCTGAAGAGCACACCAATTCAGTTTCCCCGATAAATTCAGCGGCAAAACTGATGTCACGTGACCTATACACCAATGCGGTTTCCCAGCTAAATTTAGCGGGAAATTTGCCATCACGTGGTTTGACGTCGCAAGACCTATAAAGACCAATTTAGCTTCCTGGCTCAATGTAGCGGCCAATATGATAAAAAAAAAAAAAAAATTCTTCCCTCCTCCTAAACGTGGGTTTACTTAAAGGAAAAATAAAGCCGTTCTGTACTCGAAGAAAAAAAATAATGTTTTTTTCATTTGGCCTCCAGGATCACGAAAATCGAGATTACTTTTTACCTTCGTACACAGAGGCTGCACAAATTAATTTTTTGAAGTACCACCAAAGCCCCTCTTTTCCGGAACGTGACGTCACACTAGGAGTTTTCGGAATCTCTGCTCTCGCGTATCTTCAGCGCCAGTCAAAGCACGCGCACTCTAGCTATTTTCAAAAAGGTCAGAAAGAGACGTCACGACTGATGTCAGTGTGGAAAAATATTATTGGCAAGCTTGCAAATGCTCGCGCTGCCCACACGAGTGACACGCGCTTGGCTGCTCAAAGGTCCGCAAAGGTCCTATACTCCGTTTCACCTTATGTTGTACCGCAGACAAGGCTAGAAGCGCGAGCTCATAGCGTTGGGAGCTACTCTTAACGCACGAGAACTTGTACCGCCGAGATGTGCCATAGAGCAAGGAGCTCGCGCTTGTAGCCTTTCCTGCGGTACATCATAAGGTGAAACAGTATAGTATGACGCCACGACTCGTCGGAGGTTTTTCGTGTTTTCTCGCGTTTAGTTACATCTTCGGGGAAAACGACTGTGATCATCAGATTCAGGAGATAAAAATACGCAAAAATTTAGCTCTGTACTTTGTTTCAGCTTCGGTACGAGCGCGGCCGATGTTATGAGCCGAAGGGCCAATCAAACAGCGCAATAAGCGCAGCGTCATGGTGTGCTCTCTGTGCCTGATAGGACTAGCCGGCGGAAGAGCACGCACAGACACACTGCGAATATCGACTGGTCCTATCAACTGCAGAGAGCACGCCATGACGTTGTGCCTGTTTTGCTGTTTGATTGGCCTTTCGGCTCACAACATCGGCCGCGCTCGGACCGAAGCTGAAACGAAGTATAGCGCGTTTTTTTTTTTTTTTTTTTTTCCATAAAGTTTTCTAGTTTTGTTTTAATGTCCTCTACCGTAGTATAGAGGAGGCTATGCTTCTACGTACTTTTAAACTATCGCACCTTAAACAATGCATTTGATGCGCTATATAGGACTTTGTACGTTTTGCACATGCAATGAAAAAAATGGCAAGAATATGGATCAATGAACAGAAAAATTAAACAAAGTGCGAATTAATAAAAAGTGCCAATATACGACCGTAACCACTGTACGAATTATATATTGAAACAATGCTTTGAGATATATTACTAAATAGCAGTATGTGACTAATAGAGGCCTGTTCCACCGGTTATAATGCATGTGTATATAGGAGCTGCTTCTTTTCTTATGATTTGTTTGGTTTGTTTAAACTCGTAGAAAGAGTTAAAACTGTACAAAATCTGGTTGTTAGCCACCTGCCGCGTCCCACACACAAGCCTTCTTGGCTTACGTGGGTACAGAGCGAAATGTATTCAAAAAAGAAAAATAAATTGTATTGTATTGTATTGTATGTAAAGGTCGCTGCCAATTTTTGTGTCCTTATGTCTGCAGCGAATATACCGTGTCTGTTGCACGATGCAGTGACCGTGCAACTGCGGCTTTACGCTTGCCGCCCGGTGGATATGCAGACACTTTGAAAAGAGTAGGCACCACTTACAATGATGACCCAGTTCATGTCCACATCTCCGTCGATGACGACGTTTGTGGCAAGTGGGACATCCCGACGAACGCCGCAGTTACTGGGTGTCGTGTCGTCTTGTCGCACCAGGCCGAGCCCCTCTAAGCCGCCTTCCATTACCAAGTCGAAGTCCTCTTTGGACAGATCCATTGAAACGGGCAGCGCTGTGTCTCCCAAGCGAAGGCTCATCCTGCGGCACAAGGCGGATGCCGACGGCAGGAGTCAGCAACGCGCCGCGTTTTTCTCGGGCAACCGGGACTATAACCAGTGACGGTTCTCGTACCACAGCGGTCATCTTGAATGGATACAAAACGGTTTTTAATTTACAAAATAACTGTAAAAATACATACTCAAAAGTAACTTTGCTAACCTATTCATCGTGTTCTTGCAGAAGTGCACGTAGATAACTTCAAAATGTCCGTTTTAAAGCGTTTCGTTTAATATATATATAAAAAAAACTTCGTGGTACAAATTACCTGCTTTTAAAATCACAATTATAAACGCAATAAAAAGATTTTGCTCCTCTTTTTAATATAACTTTGAGTACGCGGTCTGAAATTATCGTTAATATCGGAGAAAAATTAGAAGTACGTGGCAATATATCCCCCCTTTCGTCATCTAATAAAGTAATCAACCTACGACTATCATAGGTTGCCCAGAAAACCTCGAGAACGCTGGGAATATATTATGAAACTTACTGCGGAGCATCTTTTTTAAATTAAATTAAAACCCGTTTTGTACTCATTCGAGATGGCCGCCGTGGGACCGGAGCCTTAAGAAGCGGAGGGTTTGGTACATTATGTTCTTGTCAGCTAATGCCGCAAGCTCATTGACTGCAGAGCGATAATAAGATGCTTACGTCCCGTGCCGGATCAAGAGCTTCTACTGTCAGTGACACTGATCTCTATTATAGGGGTCTGAATGGTGCATTCAGAATACAGGCATGAAGCCACACGAAGAAAGCGGCTTGTCCCGGAAGTGAGCGCTTGGCAGGCTTTGTAACCCTTCCGAGTGCTGGTTCGAAAAGCGTCGAGGGCGCTGGATTTTCGCTTGTCACCTCAAGAGAGCCTGCTTGTTGCGCAGTAAGAGCGCATGCAGACCCGAGAAGTATCATGAGAATCCAGTAAATGTAAACATTTTGAGATTCTAGCTGATCAAGTGTGCACACGTCCCGAGTTCAAAAGCCTAATTTTCGGGATTCAATTCGGAGGATAATTGTTAAAACCCACTCAAAGACGCCGGAAAGTACGGACCAAAACGTCGACCGAATGCACTAGAAAGCACAGCAGACACCTGATTTCCGGGGCAACCATCAAACTTTCGGTGGCTTCACTTGCACTAGCATTCTATAATAGAGATCATTGGTCAGTGACTACAGGTTGTTTTCACTGACGTCATCATGCCCACCATTTTGTTTTTATCAGCTGTCTGGTGCGTGCCAAAGGCAATGACTTTAAGGATCCATCAGACACCGTCAAGTTGGTATCTAACAACAAAATGGCGGATTGACGTCACGTGGAAACACCCTATAGTGATACTCGTTGGGGTTACAATAGATTTAATGCAATCGCTTCTATTCATCATTGTCAGAGTGACTCTAAAATAAGTTTTTATTTGGCCGGTGAGGATGTATTTCTGTTGATGGCACCGTCCCAGAGCTGCTGATATGTTCAAGGCTAGCTGTGCGGCGCCGGGAGCAAACGAAGCCATTCTATGGCGGTAAGAACTGCCCATAAGAATGAAAAGCGAACAAAAACTTTCGCGTTACACACAGTCGAAATGGGAAGAAGACGAAATTATACATTTGAGTGTAAGAATCCCCAGCCTGCAGTTAGGAAAAGTGAGCATTCTCTTTTGAGCGGGATCGTTGTATAGAATCCCGAAGAGAGGTGTAGAAGAGAAAGTTGCTTACATTTTTTTTTTTCTGTTGGTAGATTTGTCTCTGGGAGCAGATAATATACCAAAAACTAAAACACTAGATATACAACTAAAACACTAAGATAAGTTACTAAGATATTTGGACACATGTCCTGCATTTCTCATCCTTCTCTCAGTAGTAAACGAAAGGGAACTACAGGCAATTTCTAAACAAAGTGGGGCTATAGATTGCGGCAGCAAAAACGCTCAACTGTTGGGCCTTCCTGGTGTTCTTTCCCTTGATCTGCAAGCGGCCGCCCTTCAACAATTCCTCCGGTGTCAGGGGGACTGTCAATGGCATGGGCTGCAAACGAAGGCAAGATTCTGTAGGCAAGTGAGGGAGCAACACGTAAAGTGGTATTCACACGGGGGGAGAAATCCGTGCAGGGATGTGCGTGACGTCGACAACGGGCGCAATTTCCTCCTCAGCTTCGTCGTTCACTCTGACCATAGCCTCCTCTATAATAACTAGGCCTGGCAGTTCGACAACGGAGCCATAGAGCGCCCGGTCGCAGATTTGGAGCGCGAGGATCTGGTAGCACAGAGCATTTCTCGGGGAAGCTGGTAGTGAGCGCACAAATTTTGCAGCGGCAACGCCGCGCGAGGAACGCGAGGAGCACGAGCGGACATTCCATCGCTCGGGAGAAGTGAGTTTCAGCGTCTCGCCGCTGTGGGGCGCCCGTTACATGACTCTCCTCTCATCCGTTGTCTAAGGCTCTACCTTTCCACTTCCGGCGGCCGCGTCTCATAGCGATCTGCCAGGCTTTGTCAATGAAAAAACAGTGAGTGCGCAAGCAAGCTGGTGGAAGTTGATCATGATGTAGAACACCCGACCAAGTTTCCCAGCTTTTACCACAGTCTAGAGCATTTTACATCATGATCAGGCTTTGTCAGTATAGAGGAGGATATGCCCCGACCACGGCGGCTCCGACCAACGTTACTAAAACCACTCAGTTGGGAAATTGCCATAGAGCCTGCTCTGAAAAAGTGGCACCGATCCGTACTCGAGAACCGAGCTAATGGCGATCGCAACGCCGCCATTTCTCCCGTAGCGGCCACTCGAGGAACTGCACGTGACTTCTATTTTGGCTTTAATCGGCCATTTTGGCGCTAAAACAGATACGGAGGAAGGGGTTTCAGGGACGCCACCCCCGTCTCCCAAGCGGACGCGCCGCGAATTACTACAGAAGTTAGGATGCGCTTAGGTCGGGACGTGCTACCTGAAATCACCGTTGACAGATGGTTGTATAAAAACAATATTAATTGCTCCGCGAAACCTTGTAAACAAAAGATTTTAGAAAACATCATGTGCCCTTCATTTTGTACAGAACTTCAATAAAAGTTACTACAAAAAGTGTTTTTTCCGTTTGTTTTTCCGCAATAACATGCTTTCTGAAAGCTCAAGGTGACCACAGTAAAGACAAAAGATTAAGAGTGCCGCTGTTGTCGTATTTAACACGGTTTTGGTGGACGCCAGCGGCCCGGGTTTCAACGGTGAGTTTGCCAACTGAGTGTTCGTTGGCTCCGACGAATCGTCAGGGGTAGGGATGCTAGCGTTTACAATCCAAGTTAGCGGTTTCCACACGTGGCACTACCGTATACGAATTTAGAGAGCTCTACGGATGCCACCAGGTAGTTAAACGACAAATTATTATTGAAAATAAACTAATTCTCCGTCAAGCCAGGATTGTTTGTGCCGCCCGGCGCCCGAGCATCCCTCACTCCCGATCTGTCGAGTAGCTGATGTCATAGGGCCACATCGCAAAAAGCCTGACGTTTTCGTCGCGTGATGCGCGCAAATCCCCAGGATTTCTCCCTCGTGGGCACATGGCTCGATAATGAGAACTACCGAAGGGCACACGTATTCCATTTCACAAATATTTATAGAGAAAATGCAGGTATACAAGCACGTGAGGCGTGTTGTTGTTTGTTTATTTTGGGGTAAAGGGAAAGGAGTAAGCCAGGAAAGGTGTGCGTGAGGCGTGATGTCTAGCCATAGCCTCCTCTATACTCACAAATCCTGGCAGTTCGATGACGGAGCCATAGAGTGCCCGATCGCAGATTTGGAGCACGAGGATCTGGTAGCACAGAGCTTTTCTCAGGGAAGCTAAAAGGAAAGCTGGTAGTGAGTGCACAGCTTTTGCAGCGGCGAGGACGCGCGAGGAACGCGAGAAGCACGAGCGGACATTCTATCGCTAGGACAAGTGTGTTTCGGTTTCTCGCCGCAGCGGGCGCCCGTTACATGACTCTTGTCTGCCGCTCTACCTTTTCACAATCGGCGGCCGCGTCACGTGATGATCTGCCAGGCATTTTCAGTATAGTGGAGGCTATGGTCACGCCCATGGTGGTCTAGCCATAGGCTGTGGCCTAGCATATTAGAATCATGTGTTTGTACAAGAACTCGCGTAAAGATTCAGCTTTCCAAAGCCACGCGCTCGCGACCTTGCACTTGTCAAGACCGCAGATGTTTGTTGACCGGCGCCCCGAGTTCGCTTCTCTGCTAAAACATTTTGCACGATAGCGCTTTTGAGGAAAGCATTGTCTAGAACATTGCCCTCGCGACTGCGCTGTTGCTACACACCATTCTAATGTTCACAAGCTCAAAACCCAGCGTGCGAGCTCCACAGCCCAGCACGCAAGTATCCGTGTCTTTACAAAGCGATCAAAGCGCGCAGCATTTCTATGCACGACCCCTAATAATGGCACCTGTCAGAAAATCTTTTATAAGAACGGCAGGGAAGGGTTTCAGTCGTCTTGCCTTCAGCCCGAGCTTCCTATAGCTTCGATAGAAAGCTCGCACTGTCTTTGTCTCTAACCGCTGTCCTCCCAATCAGAGCTCGACGCTCTGACGTCACGGCACGCTCTCATCTTCTCCTCTCCTTCAATTAATGTCGAAAGTTGGGCTAGTTGGTATTCGTTGATCATAATGTAAAAACAGCGCAAACAAACACGGACGAAGGAGAAGAAACACGCAGACGGTACAAGCGCTGACTCGCAACTGAAACTTCTACTTCAAAAAGGAAAAAGAAGAAAATAAGATAAAAACACACACACCAGGAAGACCCCAAAATCAGCATTCTCACTCAGAGAAGTACGTGTCAGCCCCTTCTCCTATCAGCACCATCACATCACCGCGTGGCCAACTTTCACCCTCTCGCGCATAAATTCAAATTCTTTTTGTGAAAGCGTTATTGAGGCCTCACTTACACACCAATCCCCGAGAGTGACAATGTGAAAGGCCTCGAGCACTTCTCTCGCCAATCTATCTTTGTTTCGTCCTAATACCGCAATGTCAGGGAAGGACGGCTTACACTTGCATGCGTTGCAGTGCAACGAGAGGTGCCCTCCAACCGTGGCACTAAGGGAGTAGTTATGCTCTCTAAGCCTATCGTTTAAACAACGTCCTGTCTGCCCGACGTAGCATTTATTACACGAGAGGGGGATCTTATAAACAACCCCCTCACAGCATCTCACGAACGGTTTCGCATGTTTCTTTCTGCACTCTCGTTTTGGGTGCCCTTCCGCTCTTGCTTCAATCCTAGAGCAGACCTGTTTAAGTCTGAGGGGGGCTGAAAACACCACCGGTATGTTATATCGGCTTCCGACCTTCTTTAGACTATGGGAGATTTTGTGGATATACGGGATCACTACAGGCCTTTTCTTTTCTACGCTGGCCTTATCTGCCTGGGATCCTTTAGTCCGCTTCAATAATGCACTTGCAACGTCAGACAGTAACGCCGGTCGAAACCCCGCTGCTCGTAACCTTTGCACCTGTGTCCCAAAGCTCTCAGAAAGCGTATGAGGGCACGACTTTTTCAAGGCTGCACCCAAGCAAGAGAGTGCTATGCCCCTCTTAATCAGTTTTGAATGAGCCGACCTGTAATCCAGAAGGCCCTTCTGAGATCGCGGAGAGTAGCACCAACACATGTGACCCTCGCTGGAGCGGAGGGAGAGGTCAAGATACTGGAGAACCCCCCCTTTAGGTACCTCCACAGTAAACCTGAGCCCTCCGCCACACTCCGCAAAAACTGCCATCACCTCATCCACAGACGTCCCAGTCACGCCCCTTCCGTCACAGTCCTCGTGAAACACCAAAAAGTCATCGACGTATCTGACTACTTTTTTAACCTTGGTGTTGCATAGAGACCTCTCTATATCTCTATATTGGGGTCTTCCTGGTGTGCGTGTTTTTATCTTATTTTCTTCTTTTTCCTTTTTGAAGTAAAAGTTTCAGTTGCGAGTCAGCGCTTGTGCCGTCTGCGTGTTTCTTCCCCTTCGTCCGTGTTTGTTTGCGCTGTTTTTACATTATGATCGTCTCCTTCAGTTTCTCGCCGTATAGTGACTGTAGCCCTATGGAGCCTTAGCTAGCTTTACAGACCTCGCAAAGAAAATATCCGGAAAGCTTCAAAGTTACATGCCGATATTTCTATAAAAGCTAGGTTTATTTTAAGCCTTTTTTCTTTTCTAGTATAAGCTACTTTCATACTCTATTTTACACTTCGTTATACACAAGGCGAGTCAGAGGGGCGACGTCTGTGCAGTTCGTACCAGAGGCTGTTCGTGCAGCGCTCGGAAGACATGGATGTCGAAGGCGCCCGTGATGCGGAGCTGGTCGTAGCGCTTGGCGTCACGCTCAATCAGCTCAAAGAGTGCGTGCATGCCGTCGATCTTCACCTGAAAACAAGAGAAGGAAAGAAAACATAAATAAAATCAGGAGGGCGTGTTTCTTGAACACATTTTCTTGGTTTTTAGGACGCTAACGCGTGAACAACGGACAACCACAAACACAATAGACAACGGACAACCACAAACACGAGAGAGACGCGTCCGTGACTCTCGTGCTTGTGGTTGTCCGTTGTCCATCCGAGAGCGTTCTCAAAAACCAAGAAAAGAAGAAAAAAGAAAGAGTCCTGTGACATAGCCTCCTCTATACTGACAAAGCCTGGAAGATCGCCACCAGACGCGGCCACCGAAAGTGAAAAGGTAGAGCGGTAGACAACGTATGATAAGAGAGCCATGTAACGGGCGCCCAGCTGCGGCGAGACGCCAAAACACACTTTTACCGAGCGATGGAATGTCCGCTCGTGCTCCTCGCGTTCCTCGCGCTACCGCTTCTTTTCTCGTCGTGTTTGAAAACCATGTTTCGGGTCCTCGCCGCTGCAAAAGCTGTGCGCTGAATATCAGGTTCCCAGAGAAATGCTCTCTGCTATCAGATCCTCGTGCTCCAAATCGGTGACCGGGCACTCAATGGCTCCGTCGTCGAACTGCCAGGCTTTGTGAGTATAGATGAGGCTATGCATGTGGGCTCCATAAATGCGAAATGCCAAAGTGACCGATGGACCCTGCTCACCCTAATTCGAATGGAGAAACGTAGAGTATACCTCATATCGGCGACACCAGCTAATCTCTTCGATGCAGTAGTGCAACAGAGAACGATCAATTGTACTTTCTTACAAAAAAAAAATTGGGTTGTGTGTATGTTTATACAGCCTAGAACTTGGTCTGCCTCACAGGGGCGGCGAGTCTCCCAGCTGTAGATGAGAAATTTTGCCAGTGCGGTACAACCGCTAGCCTGGGGTCTTTAACGTGCATCACGCAGTAGTGATACACGACCGCACGCCGGTACGATGCTCATCCAGATCGAAACGGGCAGGGGTGGGGCTCGAACCCAGGATCCCTGGGTTCTGCAGCGCGAGCTTTCGCTCCACGTGCTCCGAGCTGGTGTGCGCTAGACCACTCGGCCACCGACCCCCCTACTTTCTTACACTCTCAGCCGTCCCTGCTTATAAGCTATACACGATGATGTCTTGGAAGATCCATGATCGTCATCTGAGATGGCGCATTGATAACGCCACGACTATCAATGGTCTGAATAAGGGTGGCGATGTGGGATAGTTGGTTGATACTGACGAAAAGGCAAACAGCGCACAGTAGACGGGGTCTAAAGGAAGTGCACACAGGACAAGCGCTGACTCTCAACTGAACTTTAATCACATAAAAACAAAACAAAGAAAACATCAACCCCGCCCACGTCAGATGATACATTCACCACGTGTCCAAAAAAAAAAACAATCTCTTTACTACTTAAGCCCAGTGACGTTTGGTTTACGCTGTTGGCGCCTGCTTTGATAATTGCATGCTCCTCTAAAATTTCTTTGTTCATTCTGTCCCTTCCATTGCCAATGATTCCAGTCTTACTGAACATATAGGTTTGCACCCACATTAGTGACAATGCAATGGCAGATGCCCCCCTACAGCTCCCACCACTGATCGCAACGACAAGTCATGCTCCCGCAGTTTGTGATCAACAGATCTGCCCGTCTGACCGACGTAGGCCTTTACACACGTTAGTGGAATCGTGTACACAACTCCCACCTTGCAAACAACATATTGATTTTCATGCTTCACCGTGAAAGCGGGGCCTTCGTCCTTCTTATCGCCAACTCTCGCTCATAGTTGCACCAGCTTATACAGATAATAACTCACGCCCTGTGTTTCTTAAGCTGTCAGGGAATATAACATGGTCACCATGGAGGTAGGAAGCTTCTGGAGGCGGCATGACGTCACCAGAGGTGAAGCCAAAGGCGTGTGACGTTATTTCACCTCCAGAAGCTTCCTACCTCCATGATGGTCACCGATCGCTTAAGAAACTCGGGGCGTAGCGAGTTCCGGGCATCTAATTATCGAATTCGAAGCCAATAAGACCGTGGTAGTAGCAGACTAGAGCGCAGAGGAACCAATCAGGAAGCGTGAACTTAATAAGTCACGCCCTGTGTTTCTTAAGCTGTCAGTGAATATGACATACTCGTGGACTACTTTACTAATAATGAAGGGGGATGGAGGCGCGTGGCCAGCTTTTACGTCATCCTCTTATACATGTTTCTCTAAGTAAGCGTAATTTATTCATTCGGTAAGAAAATAAGACTGTGTACACCATCGGAAGCATGATAGCGACCTTTTTTTTAAAAGTTAAGTTGTACCGTTTAAAAAAAAGGCCGATCATCGGTGCTCAAGAGCGGGGCACAACCTACCACGAGGTAACGGTCCTTGACGTCGAAAAAGAACTTGATGAGGTGTCTTTGGCCGATGTTCAACTGGAAGTATTTATCGGGAATGGCCTCGTTCCGGGTCTTAAAGTTATCCACCGAGTAGTTGAGAGCTCCGGGCTTGTACTGCTCCGTCTGCACCTCCAATTGGGGCAGGTAGTCCTGGCTCTTGGTCCACCACCACTCGAACGTGGCGCTGAAGGATAAGGCGCGACAATACGGGTCTAGCGCACGAAGCATCCTTATTCCCTTTACTAAAAAAAAAAGAGCCGAAGACACGGGACACACGAAAATAATGGCAGGACAACGAAGTCTCAAGACGTTGCTGTCTTCTACCCTTTTTGAGACATTGTTGTCATGTCTTTTTTTTTTACGTTGTTCCCTTGTCGCCTTTTTTCGTGACGTTGTTGTCCTGCCCCCTTTTTCATACGCAGTTGTTCTGCCCCCTCATTTTGATATGTTGCCCTTCTTTCGACCTGTTGTCGTCCTGTCCCCTCCTTTTGAGACGTTGTTATCCTGTCCCCTTTATTAATGTGTCCCGTGTCTTTGTTGTTTTTTTGACAACTGAATTTCTGCGTGCTTGCACTCCCATTACCTTTCTTGGTGTTGTTACTAGCAAACTATTTGGATACACGAAAAATTGAACGTTCCCTAAGAACACAAATGAACACTTTTTTTTACGTGCATCGTATCATAAACATTTCCCCGACATCACTTTACCGCGATACGGTTAGTATAAACGTGATCCGTAATTCGTCGCCTGCTCTTCCACTTACGGAGATGGTAGACGAAATTGTGGTGTTTATTTTAAAATCCATTTTCTGGAATGGATTCAGAAAAGGCGTCCCAGTGATCACCCTCTGCGATCACTGGGACATGCCAATGCTAAGCCTCGTTCACTTGGACTTTACTCGCCTCAAAAAAATGAGAAGGCCTGTTCTCGCTCGTGCCAGAGAAGTGTTCTCCTTCCCGATAATTTCAGAATGTCAGCAGGAGCTGGCCAAAAAAGGATGCGTTATTCAACAGGCGTTACTGAGGAAAACTTCTCTGGTAGCCAATAAGTTGATCTTGTCTTGTCCGTAGACAAAAATTAGTGTTCATTGCTCTAGTGAGATTAAGCCCTTAACCTCACACGGTGACGTCTGACCGAAGCGTCGCCTCCATGTACACATGCGGAAACTCATCCAGGCCTCCAGGGAGGCTGAACAGCAGTGGAGTCGTCTGCAAAAAACCAAAACAAACAAATTGTTCTACACATTCAGGACCTCTTGAGTGTGTACTGCGCCGTGAAACACTGTAGGCACTATAATCATCCGCCATTTTTTTTTATCCACTTCACTCAAAGGGAAGGGCATTTGCGATAGAGGGCTCTAGTAGTTATGAAGTATGTGGCAAACGCTATTCGCGTCTTTCGACACCGGGGCTGCATGGACGTTGGAGTCTTACAAAAACCGTACTTTTCGCTAGTTTAACTCACTAGAGAAGAACCGTTGATTTTGAGTTTTAGCGCACTGTGGTGCAGTACACGGGGGCTTCTGCGAGTGTACGAGTTTCAACTAACAGGAGCAGAACGCGTAACATTGCGCTATTCCACTGGATTCAATACTTTGAGTGGATTTGTTTGCAAAGACCATCCCGCACGCGTGACTTACGGGATTGGTGAGATGAATCCCCGGCTTTTTGGCTGCTTCAGCGAACTCTTCTTTGCTCTCTTCGAGCACCTCAGCCGGATCCTCGTACATGGCAACCGGAACACAGATTTAATTTTTCCTTTATGTCCTATCAGGCAGATGACTGGCAGGCTTCCAAGTTGCTGCAAAAATAACTTTTGTTCGACTATATAGCTTTAACACTTTCATTTACAATCCACCGTTTAAAAAAAAAAAAGACGCTCGAGAGATTTTGGTAGGAGCTGCGTGTGAACAAGACACGAGCGAGTGCGAGCACTCGCTTTGAAGAATTCCACCATCTAACTCACTCGCACTAGAGCCACGGGAAAAAGCGAGGCTTTAGAGCAGAGGACTCCACACCTCGGCCTGCGGACCAGATCCGGGCCGCGGAAGTCTTCCGATCGGCCCGTGACGTCTGCAGTCCTTGTAGACCGTTTTCCCACCTCCGCTACGCTCTCCGGAACCAGGACGCCACTAGTGCGCATGCGCGGCGCTAGCCTTGCCTGCAGAGTCCTGGATCTCGTACTGGGTTCCGGAGAACGCTGCGGGACAGCGGAAACGATCTACGAAAACTCCCTTATGAAGCTCGGCCCGCGGCCCGGTTCAAGCAAGCCCGCCGCTAACAGCGCAAAAAAAAATGTGTGCGTCAAGAAATAGCGCCGCGGCGCGCTCCCGAAGCGCAAAGGAATATAAAAGAAGTAATGAGAGAAACTGAATCTTAACGCATGTCCTCTCGCCATATGATTAACTGAACATTGTCATCTTCCGCATAACCAATCTTAGTTCGTTTCTTCATATCTCTGTGCTTTGCGCTCTCATGTACATTGTGCATAGTGTTATCATACACAAGCATAGCATATTGTCAGCATTAGTTTTATCATTCTAATTAGTCATTTCTACTGCTCGAATCTTCCAAATTTTCTATGCGCTTTGATTTATGCCTGGGGAGTTTTCTTGGTCGCAAATATCATTTAATGTCATAGGTGGCTAAATATTAATTTTCAGATTGGTATATGCAGTTGTCCACCTTACAGTATTTTTAGATATTTACTAGAACATTCGTTTCTCTGTTTAAATGCTTGTCAAGGTTTATTTTTTCTCCTCATCTATGATTACTTTTTAGTTTACTGCCATCGAGACTGTGACACATGCCCTAATCCGGACCCTTACCCAAAACGTTTGGAAACCCCTGCTTTAGAGCAACGACACTTGGACCATCTTGGCGATAAAATATATGTTGCCCATTATGTAGAGCATTATCTGAAATTGAGGGAAACGATTGTCCGTCTTCCATATATGTTAAAACAGTTCACGACAACGGAAACGAATATCACCTGACGATATAAAGGCCAGGAAGTCACATTTTTTAATCGCAGCGATCGTAAACGGTGGCTCCTACAAGAGAACCTGGGAATGAAGTTCCGATACTATAACTCTGGCTCATACAATAAAAAAAAAAAAAAAAAAAAGAAACACGTGCTCCTGCTAGGAGTCCTAAAGTTGACAAGTCCAGAAATGTTGGATCCGTGCTAATCATTTTACGTTCCTGAGTAAGGAATATCAGTTTCTCCGTGTTCTCACGCATTCTCTTCGAAAAAGAAATTAGCATCCCTAAAGCAATGGGATTCCCCTCCACATAGTTTTTATTGAAATGAGGAGAGAACGATAACAGACATTGTTTACTGTGCAGCGAAGTCCGACCCTCTTAGACGATGGCAGTAAAGTTTTTCGAAAAAAACTTCCTTGATATTTATCTAAGTTCAGTTTTTAGGTACCCGTGAATATTTCCTAGCAATAAGGTTTTAAAGTATTCTAATATTTAGTCCATTTTTTCTTGTTTTAGATCAATTAAAATAATATTTGAGGTAACCTGAGGGCTCACTCAAATGTTATGTAAATAATATATATAAAATACGTATACATCAAATTTTAATTTATTGATATATATGCATGACGGCCAAACTACAGTGGTTGGACCGTGGAAAACTTAAAAAACAAAACACAAAAAACAGAAATAACGAGGCATATTGCTTGAATAGTGATCAGGTATCCTTATCATCGTTTGTTCTCTCGACCATAAGGGTCGCAATAAGGATGTAAAAGCTACCGGTTCAAAATTTGTCAGTCGCTTTCAAAGGAATCGCCATATTTTGTATAGTATCTTGCAAGCGCCGCACCTCACCACACCTGCAGACAAAAACACGGGAAGTTCGTGTAGTACGCAAGTGACAGCACACATCTAGACACGTTTTCAACAACCCTTTTAAAACCAAGCTCGATTAATGCAAACAACTCAAATTTAACATAGAGCCTAGTCAGGAGCAACAGAGCCCATTTTTGAGCGCATTGGGTAGCTTTGGATACCTACTGCACGTGCTAATAAATCTGTGGGAACTATACTTTCCCGTAAAGCACTTGAGAGAGTCAATCCCTACAATCTACTGAGGCAGCTCAGCGAATGACGAGACACTGGGCGTGACCTTTCACCTGCTCATTTCCAAAACGCAATTTTTTAGATCTATACATATCATCAGCTCCGTCAAACCCCGAAAAACGAATCACAAAGCAAAAGGAGCGAACATAACACGCTACGTTTTGTGATTCTTAAGATGTTAGTCACTACGGATGAGTATAGTCGTGTTCTCGGTTTCTACTTCGATTCAACATAAGCCAGAGAGCACAGTCTACGCCACCAGCTGATGGGGCAAATCAAACAGCACCATATATGCAAAGTCACGTAGTTTGTAGTCTTTAGTATACGGTGCGCTATCCCAAGCTCAAACCAATGGAGCACGGCGCCCTGACCTCGTGCTCATGCTTCTATGAGAGTACGGCTTCTAGCCTTTGACTGTGTTCTGACCTACGGTGAAAATACAGCCTGTTACGCAAATTACAATAAGTAACGAATGAAAGTGAACAATGGTGTTTAACTAAATAACACGAAAATTGAATGTCTCACGTGGCTGTGCTGGACACTCCTTGGCGATTGGATTTACTTCACTACTACTGAGCCGCTAACCCGAGTGGATGCAACGTCAGAACGTTCGATCGAAGATTCGAGAAGCCAGTTTAGACATCTGCGCTACTGTTCACCGAGGATCTACGATGCTCGATTATCCAACGAGCGGGCTACCGCAGCTGCCACCCCGAGAGAAATGTTCATTCGGACCCGTTTATCAAAGAGACGTCAGTCAAAGTTTATCGTCAGTTTTCCAAATAAAAACATAAATACATGAATTACACTCATGATTCAGTAACTGCTAATATGTATGAGAGTACGCATTCGTAACACTACTAAATGTTCCAGTTGCGAAAGGAAAGAACGCGCTAATTCTTGCTACTGAAACTGTGTGGTCATCGGATTAGGATCCCGATCGCGCTCTTATTGGGTAAGCTTGTTCGAGTGCATCTGGGAGCAGTACATACTGGGAGACTTCACGGAATGTAACCGTTGCATTTTAGAATATTTGGCACCAAAATAGCACTCGTGTTACAGGCATAAAGCTAGCGGTGGGGACACGCGGACTATTAGATTATCATCCGCGTTTTAGTTTCACTTATCAGTAACGTGAAAGTAATTTGTAACGTAACGAGTAAAGAGCGAAAGTAATTTGTAACGGTAGTCCTTTACATTTGAAACTCGGTAATTTGTAATTGTAATTCATTGCATTTTTTAAGTAGCAGGCACAAGTCTGTCCCTACCACGCTCGATGGCATAGCCGAACGAGCAATGAGGCAAGTCAAGCAACAGTCGAGAAGTGAAAACAACTAAAGGGACACTAACACCCCCCAAAAACAAATACTTAATTTTTTAGCCAGACGAGTCGTAATGATGTCAGAAGAGTACCCAAGCAATATTTTGCTACAGCGTCACCTATATTTTTAATGAAGTAGCGACACGCTACTCCTCGAATCCGAAACAGAAACTGGACTATTGAGGAAGAAGTAATATAGAGAGGAGAGGTTTGCCAAAAATCACTGCTGTGAAACTTTTTTTTTTCTCAATAAACGTGTTTGCAGTTTTCTAGAAGTCACAAAAAATGGGTATCGTATTTCTTTTTCTATTTTTAATATTGTGTGAGTTTCTTCGATGACCGATGACTGATTATATTTCGTGGTGGGGTAGTATGCTCGCACATTAAAGTGCGAGCGTACTACCCCGAACTACACTTCCAGTGAACAAGCGCACCATCCAAAGCATCGAGCTCGCTTTTATTGCTTTTGGTGCGCTGAAACCTTTCAAAGCACAAATATAATCAATTCTATTATTTCAATTATTTTTATTATGTGTGTGTGTTTTTTGTATTTTGCGTTGACGTGTCATTTTCTTAGTTATATACTATTTTTTCATTAGTCCGACAACTATAGTTTGTTTCATTATAAGTACGAGCCACATAATCAAAGATGTAGAAAAAAAAAAGAACGCGAACACATTGAAAATGCAATGTAACGGCGCATTCAAAATTATTATTATATTGCAATTAAATGCAAAGGTGCAAGCGAGCTGGACAAGAATGATGAAAATAATCCCTGGAGAAGGGGAACAAGAGGGACAAAGATTTGTGTTTGTCCTTTGTCGCTCTTGTTCCCCTTCTCCAGGGATTATTTTCATCATTCTTCAAAATTAGTCGTTAGTTTTTTTTAAAGAGCAGCAGTTTCGTAGGGCGACATTGTTACCCGTTGTAGGTTATAAAAAATGCAGTACAACTGTTATTAGCTCTGGGTCTTTAACGTGCATTACGCAGTATATGTGGTACACGATCGCACGGCGGTAGGAAAATGTCATGCACGGTGGGGTAACACCTTAAAGTATTTGGTTTCACAATAGGGAGTTTTAGTAGATCCTTTTCATAGGCCCGTCACCGTTATGGGCGCGCGCTTCAGAGCATGAATCGAAGAAGCAGCACCAGCTGCCGCTACAAATAGCGTTGCCTGAAAACACGACCTTCTCAAACTCTCTAATAAGTGCGAGCGAAGCGGAACATATAAGCGCGAGCATGCTGCCCTGAACTATTTTTCCAGTGATCGGTACAGCCGTTCATAGGATGATATCGCTTTTATGGACAATAGAC